CTATCACATAATTCACAATAAAACATTTAAGAAAAAAAAAAAAAAAGAGTCAGAGACTTTCCCACACAACCGGCAAGAAGCGGAGCCATGATTTGGCATCAGATGCGTCCAACTCCACAGAGGACGCGTTAGAAGAAGGACACTGCCCTGAGAGCCAGGCAACCCTCTTCAGGAATTATCTCGGCCCCGTCCCCAACCCGCCTACCAGTCCCGCCTACCAGTCCCGCCTCCATCCCCGCCCCATCCCCGCCAGCTCCGAAATGGCTTCTGCAAGGGGAGCCAGGCCCACACCTTGGAGGCGGGCCTGAGTTCAGGCCAGAGCGATCGATGCCAGAATCAATCTCAGGCCGCCTGCCGGGAGAGCTCGCGCAGAAGCAGAAAGCCCATGACGGCGCAGGTTGGGAGGAGGAGCACCGAACGGAGGGCTTGCTAGCAGGGGCCGCCCGAGAGTGTCTTCATCGCGGGGGCTGGGCCGCCATCTTAGCTGGAGGGAACAAGACAAGGAGGAGCGTGAGGCGGGAAGGCTTCTTTGCGGTTTTCCTGGGGTCCCGCCGAAGGCCGGTTGGCCGGACTTTGGGGTGTGTATCCTGAAGCGAGAACGCGAGTGGGACGATGCGGCGTCTACCCGGGACCCCGTCCCCCGGGCTGGGGACGCGTGGAATGTGACCGCCTCCGGCTCCCTCACCCGCCGTGGGGAGGAGGAGCGGACTAGAAGCCCCGCCGGACGTCGGGACACTGGGTCCGCCCGGCTCCCTCAGGTAGGCGCCGGGGCCGGGTCTATGGAGCCGGGTTTAGGGAGCCTGGAGGCGAGACCGAGGACCTGGGCTCCCTGGCGGCTCGGCCTAGGCGGCTGCCGGGCACAAGGCCCGAGCCAGGCCGCTGTCAGCTCGGGTGGCGCTGGGCGGCGGGGGCCCGGCGTCATGCCGGCGAGCCAGGCTGCCACATCCCCACTCAACTCTTGGGTTTCGGGGAGACGTGCCCAGTGCACTTTCCTGACATTTTGGCAGTGGAAGAATCCGCCCCAAACTGCCCTGTCTGGCGTTGTCACTCGGTTGAGGCCATTCCTACTTGTTTTTACCCCTCCAGCCCCTCAGGGTTGGGTAGCCAGGCCTGCGTGTGCTCTCAGGGGCTTTGACCTGAGTGAGCCCTTTTGCAAGCAGACTGTGAGAGCCATCGGGAAGGGAGGAGGAATGAGGTCAATGCTCCATAACAAAGGCCTGGGGCCTGGGTTACTAAGGCGATGGAGACGGTGAGGGCTGCCTTGTGGGGAGTGGGAGCAGCGCTGCAGCCCTAGTTGTTGTGCAGCTGCAGGAGCGCTCTGCAGAGCAGCTCTAGGTCGGTGCACCATTCATTGTTCTCTTCCCTGGATCTGGGTACGCCCTGGCGTTGCTTCTTTGTGCAGAACGGCTTCTCCTGGGGATGTGAGCGTGCTCCAGGGCTGCCTGGCAGGTGTTCGGGCTGGATTCATGCGTTCGCTTCGTGGGCTGAGGGGGGGGGGGGGGGGGGGGGGGGGGGCTGCGGGGCAGGGAGAGCGCGGCGGACGGTGAGCTCATTGGAGGGGACTTTGCGGGGCGCTGGGAAGAGGTGAGGCGGAAGAGCTTTCCATGTGAGGCGAGGAGGGGAGGGCATTCCAAGGCCGGCCAGGAAGTCCTGGAGATTATGGCAAGGGTCTTTTTAATGAAGATAGTGGCGACTACGTTGATTTCATTTGGATTCTTCTGAAGGGTGGTTGGGTGCTGTGGAGTCAGCCGGACTCAACGACCCTGTATTAGGGTTTCTCAGGCTCGAAATCTTTCTCCCAGGATCGGCTGGTGGACTCGAACTGCTGACCTTGTTGGGCTAGCAGACGAACACGGAACCCGTTTTGCTACCAGAGCTCTTCTGAAGAAATTGTGCTCATTTTTGAATCTTACTGATACCTAATCATTACCAGCTCCCCCTTTAAAAACAACAACATTGTATTTTAGGAGAAAGTTTGCATAACAAATTGGTTTCCCATTCACTGTTTCACACACAAACTTCTTTAACATTTTCCCCTGTTTCCCCTGGTGAGCCAGGACTCTCCCTGTTTCCACCCTGCCTTCCCTGTTTCCATCCCTCCAGTTTCCCTCCTGCTCTTCTTTTGGGCAGATCTTATCCAATTGGTCTTGAATGGTTGATTGTTGTTAAGAAGTACATTCCTCATGGGTGTTAATTGTTTATGGGCCATTTGTTATTTGGCTGAAAGGTGACCTGCATGAGTGGCTTCAGTTACAGGTTAAAAGGGTGTCCAGCGGTTCTTCCCATCTCTCATCAGTGGAGTAAGTCTGGTCTTTTTCGCCCATTGTAACTGGGACCTGCTATTGTGTCAGAGATTCTGGTAGTGGAAGTTGGTTACCTTCTACTTCTTCTGGTCTCAGGATGAAGGAAGCTGTGGTTCTTGTGGGCCCTTAGTTCTATTGACTAACTTTGTTGCTTCCTTGAGTCTTTGGTTTCCTTCATCCTCCTTTGCTGCAGACAGTAAACAGACCAGTAGTTCTCGCTAAGATGTCTCTTGCAAGATTTTAAGACTCCAGACACTATTACCAAACTAATATGTAGAATGTTATCTTTAAGAAACTGTTACACTAATTGACATACTTGCCCCCCTTTCAGGTCCAGTAATTCAATTCCATGATGTGCTTGTTGCTGTTGTTGTTGTTAAGCGCCCTGCAGTCAGTCCTGACTTACAGCAACCCTGTCTGTATAGGTTTTCCTAGAAGCAGCTGGTGAGCTTGAACCTCTGACTTTGCGGTTCAGACCAACGTTGCAGTCCAGCACTTAAACCCACAGCGCCCCACCAGGACTCCATGATGTGTGTAGATAAGTGTTTAAAAGTTTCCATGACTATGCTCTCTATATGTTCTATTACATAGATGACTATATATGCAGCACATGAGCTCTGGTGATGTGGGGAGGTTAGATGCTGGGCTGCTATCCCCAAAGTCAGCAGTTGGAATCCACCAACTGTGGGAGAAAGATAAGGTTTTCTGCTCCTATGAAGATTTGCAACCTCAGCAACCCCATAGAGGGTCGCCGTGAGACAGAATTGACACCGAGCACCTGACAACAACATATATGCAGCACATACAAATATGTATATATAAACACCCACAAGTATTGCGATATAATATGCACACGTGTGTCCTCCAGCCCCTGTAGTTTCCTGTGTAACTTACTCACAAACTTTTGGTTGTCATTGTTGTTGCAGAGTCCTGGTGTGGCATTGTAGGATAAGCCCCATACTGCTAATGACAAAGTCATTGGTTCTAACCCACCAGTCCATCCTTTCAGAATTGACTTGATGACATTTAGCAACAACAACAACATTGTTGCATTTTCCATACATTCCTTTATTCTTGTGTATCCCTCTGTCTTAGTTTACCTAAGTCTGCCTTCTTAATGATATTGAAACTAATAGTAATCAAAAGGCTTATTACTTTGCTAAACTTGGGAAGGTTAAAAAGTTTTAGTGAGGCAAAGTATATGGTATGCTCTGTAAACCTCTCAATTCCCAATAAAAAGTTTTAAAAAAAGTGTTTTAGATTGACTGTTTTGTATTTATACAGCGTTGATTGGACTGAACTCACATTCCTTGGAGTTCTGGCAAAAAGATTCTTCTGTTTTGAAGTTGTACTTACAACAATGTTGACTTTATAAATGTAGTGTAATTGATTCTCACTTTTAAATGGCTGTTGAAAATGTAAACCATGCGCCTCAATCTTACATAAATAGACAGATTTTATAAAGGATTTGAAAACGTAGAATATTAGTGAATATTTTCAGATTCGTACATGTGTCTTGTTAAGTGCCGTTGAATCCATAATGACCCATAGTGACCCTGTGTAGGGTTTCCAAGGAGCATCTGGTGAGCTAATACAGTCTGACACATTAGCCCAAGAGCCACACCAGGACTCCAAATGTGTCATAGAAATGGCTAGATTCCCCTCACCCCAATTCTGTTATAAAGTCTTTAGCGCTATAAGCATAATTTTCCTAAAATAGCTATATTATTGTGATAAATGCTAATGTCAAAAACCCTATACAGGGTCACTGTGATTTGGAACCTGTTTGGGACTGACTAGATGGCACACAACAGTAACAACAAAGTGATTGAGATATTTACAGACTTCGGCTGGCAGCTCCTAAATCTTTTTCAGGTTATGATGACTACATACCACTGATCATTAAAATTCTTTTGTCTAGTTTTCCCCCTTATCAGTTCAAGGACTGAAATGTTTACATTGCAACAGAAACATTTGACCTAGTTAAACATTGGATATTTGGGAGACTAAGCCTGTTACTGTTTTTGATGTAGCATTCATGATCCTAAATTATAGTGCATTTGTTAAGTCTTGTTATACTTCATCAATAGTTGAAAAAGTGTGTCTTCAAAGTAGAATGCTGATGAATACATTTGAACATATCTTAAGGGATTTGGCTGTAGTAGAAAGAAAACTTCAGTGTGTTGTTGTTAAGTGCCATCGAGTCGATTCTGACCCATAGAGACCCTGTATAGGGTTTCTGAGGAGCAGCTGGTGAGCTTGAACCACCGACTTTGCAGTCAAATGGCTTTTCAGTCTGGTGCGTTAGCTGACACCAGGACACCAACGTTAGTGAGTGTTGTTGTTGTTCTTATGTGCTGTGGAGTCGGTTCTGATTCATAGTGACCCTATACAGGGTTTCCGAGGCTATAAATCTTTATTGGAGCAGGAAGTCATCTTTCTCCTGAGGAAAGCCTAGTAGAAGTGCTGATTTAGGTCCCCAGCCCCATTCCTAATTACTATGCTAATTACATGCTAATAGACCATACATAATCTTAGTCTTGGGGGGAGCTTGTTAGCCAACAACAGCATGCCTTAATGTTCATTTGCAGAAGAGAATTTTAAATATTGCCTTTGATAAGCAGCAGACTCACATGATAGTGGGGATTTTATGAATCCACAGAAATGAGCCTTGGTTTGACAGGTCCTTTTTTTTTATTTATTTGTGCAGTTCAAGAGAGTCAGTTCTTCAAAACCCAAACAGCACAAAACAAAAAGTGTTAAAAATTCCTTACTTAACTACAGTAATTGGAAAAACCAGAGAACACTGGGTTCACTTTAAGAATTTCAGATTGCTCAAGTGACTAGATTTATTTGTAATGTTGTTAAGCGCTGTATGAGTTGGTTCATAGCAACCCTGTATGAGGTTTCCAAAGCTTTTTAAGTCTTCTGTGGGAGTAAAAACCCTCATCTTTCTCCTGCTCATATGAAGTGGCTGGTGGTGGCTGTGTGCCGTGGAGTTGGTTCTGACTCATAGCGACCCTGCACAGGGTTTCCAAGGCTGTAAATCTTTACAGGAGCAGAACACCTCATCTTTCTCCCACGGAACAGCTGGTAGTTTAGAACTGCTGACCTTGCAGTTCTCAGCCTGATTCATAACCACTATGCTACCAGAGCTCCTTCATATGCAGTACTACTAGATAATTGTATTACAATTCATTTGGTTCCTCTTGTATAGGACTTAATTACCTTGTCTCTGTTGTGCATAGGTTCTGCAACCTACTCTGGTGTACTTAACAACAACAATAACAGCAGCACCATAATCCACTTACAGCTGGGTACTTATTTAAAATTGTGAATAAAATTTTCTTCATTGTGTATAAAGTTTTTACCCTTAATTGTAGGTGTTTTGGTTCTTAATTTTCTTCCAGAATTACTTTGTAGCATTTGGTGTCTTCAGATCTGTTTGCCTTTCT